GCTGGGTGTATGCTCGGCTGTTATGCGATTTTGCTGTTATGCGATTTTACCACACTCGCAAAATCGCACACAGCCGACCATACACCCAGTATGATAGCGCAAAATCACGAATCGCGATACCATACTGGGTGTATGGTTGGCTGTGTGCGATTTTGCGAGTGTGGTAAAATGGCATAACAGCAAAATCGCATAACAGCCGAGCATACACCCAGCAGCTCTGCTGATGCCTGAACGGTATGTGGAATGAAGTGGGCGGGCATCGGGAGGCCACTATGGCACGGGGCAAGCACTATGGGCAGTCTATCTGAAGTGTACCTGGCATATAAGACGACCCCCCACTTGGAGGCATATTTTTCAGGGCCAAAAAATCATCTTATACGCCGGCAAATACGGTATATCTTTCTAATTAAGCAACTATGTTCTGTGATTTAGCAGGCTAAAGACTTTAGAATGACAAGCATTTTTCAGAGTCAACTCTTTCACTGTGATGAAGACTGCTTAAAGACTATTATACATACTCGTATCTAGATTGGATTCTAAAGTGAGAATCCGTTGTTGTGTTTCCATGTTAAAGATGCTTGTATATCCTTTGCTGAATGATGCTACCATAAGGCTCGGGTCACTGCTTACTAGATCCACAGAGGCAGGGATTCCAAATTCTAAAAAAGTCAGAACATATTCATAGAGAACGCTAATTAGAGGGTCTTCTTAACAATGTGCTTAAACTATAGCAAAACAAATAATAGCATGATTTCTTTGAGGAGTAAATAAGGCTCGACATTAGGATAAGAATTTGCCCGCTGCCATTCAATGGAGATTATTTCTTTTTTTTTCTTTTAGCCCTAGCCTATTTCATTACTCTTACCTGTTCAGCACATCTTCTACCTATTACTCACCTAATACATAAATGGAATGCAAGCCTTTATTCAAAAACTAAATGAAAAACATGTATGGACTACAAGTTTTGCTGCTTCTACCTCAACCTGGAGCTTAGAGCGGCATCATTGGAAATTCTTCATTTTAAAAGCCCATCTCTTAGTAGAAATTCTAACTTATCAAAAACATGGAATTTAAGAAATAAAGCTCCAAATTGTTACTGGTAATCATGCAAATATTAAATGCAGGCAACTCATCAAAACCTAGACACACATTATCATAGCTCAAGAATAAAGAAGGTATTTTTATTTATCATCTATAATAGCTAAAACTTGGTTAAAACTTGAAGCTTATTTATAAACATAAAAAATAGAATATGTATATATGAATATAACCTGATTTTTCCATTTGGTTCAATATCTAGCTAAAGCAAACAGTTTAAAAATGTGTATATTACAGAAGATATATTAATGGCCAATAAGCACACAAATAAAGTGCTCAAAAGAATTAGCCACCAAAGAAATGCAAATTAAATCACAATGAAATACTGCTACACATCAGAATAGCTAAAATTAAATAGACTGACAACACCAAATGTTAGTAACTAAGGATGTAGAACAACTGGAATTCTCATACATTGCTGTCAGTGGTGTAACATGGCATAACCACTCTGGGAAAAAGTCTGGCAATTTCACATAAGGTCAAACACACAATTCTACTCCAAGTCTTTACCCACCTATAATTAGAACATATGCATGTTCACAGCAGCTTGTTCAAAACAGTCAAAAACTGAAAACAATCCAAATGTCCATTAAGAAGTAAATGAATAAACACACTGTGGTTTAATAAAATACTACTAAATAATATAAATTATTGATACTTACTACAACATGGATGAATCACAAAAATATTATCGTGAGAGTAAAAGGCCAGACACAAAAAGAGTACACATTTTATGATTTCATTTATATGAAGTTTTAGAATAGACAAAACTAATCTATGATGAAAGAAATCACAACAGTGGGTACCTGTGGGTGGGAATGGGGAGAGGGGATGGACTGGGAAGATCATAAAAAAAGTTTATGGAGATAAAGGAAATGTTCTATATCTTGATGTAAGAGTTATGCATTTGTCAAACTCATTAAAATGTATTCTTATAATTTATATACAGTAAAAACCAGATTATATCTCAACTAAAATTTTTTTAAAGATGTGTTCTTTCACCAAATACTATGTTTTTAAAACTTATACATAATATTAGTAAGTTGAAAATTCAAATATACATATTTTTACAACTTCAAAAACCCTTCAAATTAAATTTAAACAGTAAGAGTTTATGGAATCATTTATTTATTTGCATGCTTGTTTTTATAATAAGACATAGATAATTTAGAATTTTATAAAAGATTCAGTGCAATGATTTTAAAAGTATGTACCTTGATTATCATTAAACACACTTAAGGCTGGAGCAACCTCCGTTGTGTTCCATAGACGAAGAGTGCCATCTGCTGAACAGGACAGCAAACGCTGGTGAGCTGCACTGTAAGCCAGACCCCAGACGGCGTCGGTGTGGCCGAGCAGAGGGCCCCTTAGAACAGAAGGGTCTACAGAGAACAGCGAGATGGCAAAGTCAGGAGAAAGACAACTTACAAAGGTACTTTGAGTCCAGAGAAAGCAAAAGGACATGATAACAGTATAAAATACGCTTCCTACTGTCTATGATTTTTTCTGAAATGCTGTAATTAAAAATAGGCTTGGAAATATGCAAATGTAGGGTTTAAAATTTAGAAATTAAAATTACAAAGTACACATTTTTCTATTTTAAAAAATTAGGCATTTCATCCTCCCTCCCTTTTTTCTTCCATTTGTCTAGATATTTTAAAGAGCATGTTAACACAAATAAATCATCTGAATTTAACTACTTCAGAGAAAACACACTCACATTCCCTGAGAACATGAAGAGAGATCCCTCCCTCCTCCACCTCCTTGAGCACTGTGGATATACTCTTTCAGGCCGCTTATCCCACAGTACCACGAACGGCAGTTATTCCTGGGAGCAACGGGCCTCTGACATAAAGGACATGAACTGAGACCTACAGAAACCCCCAAATTCTCAAACAGCAGTAACTGACATATGAATGATGTGCAAGGGGGGAGAGGGAGGGAGGAGGCAGGGAGAGGGTCACTTAGCACTATTTCACGATAAAAGTTAAATTTCAAACTATTAATCCTCACCTTCAAGATGGCTCACAGAGGTTAAGTTTAAAATGTTACTGTTGTTATCTGTCCCATATCTTCTCTCAGTTATACCCTAAAGTACTTATTAAAGACATACTGGTGTTAGGCACTATGCTATACGCCAGGCCACACAGATGATTAAGACATAATATCATTCTTGTCCTCAAGACAGTGTGACAAGCACAGTAATAGTGACAGAAATCAGTTACATGGACAGTAACTGGGATGAGCGAAAGCTTCTTAGGGAGAATGACACCTAGAGTGAACAATGCAAAGAATGAGTTAGGGCCTAGACCTTGATAAATTCCAATATTTAAGATAAGAAAAAGAAAAGGAACTTATGAAGGATAGGGAACAGAAATTGTCACAGAGTTACATGTCAAAAATGCCAATAGTAAAAAAAAAAAAAAAAAGCCAATAGTGGACAAATTTAAAAGAGGATGGAATGGTCCACAGTTTCAGAGAGCCAATATATCTAGTAAAACAAGGACTGTAAAATACCCGTTGGATCAGGACTGAAAATCTTGTTATACTTTAGTGGTGTGACCAGGAATACAAAGAGAGGTGGTGCCCAGGGAAAGGACATGGAATTATTAACTAGTGACGGTGTTTTCCACCATCAAGGAGACAGAGAAGGTGAAGGAAAGAGAGTCTAAACAGAAGCCAGGGAGGGAAATAAAGCCAGAAAAGGTTTCCCCTTGCTCAGGATGGGGGGATATCTTAATTTATTTATATGCTCAGGGGATGAGAAGAGAACAAAGAGATTAAAGATGAGAGCCAGAGAGACCTGGGGTGAAGAGTGGGTGAGGGTACCACGCAACCTCAGAGGAAACAAGAGACAATGGGGTCAAGAGCAAAAGCAGAAGGGTTGGCTTGGGACAGAATGAGGACAACTGATCGATCCTCTGTTAGATAAAGAAGTAAGGAAAAGCATAAAACACATAAATGAGCAAGAGAACTGGGAAGAGAGAGGAGGTTCACCTCTCACAAAAATATATGTTAAATGTTTCTTAAGTAAATGTTGGAAAATTTTTTATTGAATTTCTTATCTTTACTTCGGTTTGGTGATAAAATTAATCTAAAGTGATAATGAAAATAAAATATGGTTTAATGGTAAATGACACTTTGTACCATTCTAGAATTTAAGAAAACACCAAACAGTCAATTCCTAAACCAGATTTTACAAGGAATTTTATGTAATAGCTAGTGACAGATTATAATAAGGATTTGTGCCTCCTGGAACTTCTGAATTTATTAGACCTTTCAAATATTTTGGTGCCATGGACTTGAAAAGTCATTAGCCTCTATGCCGTCCAATAATTGATCAAGAAGATGATGCCAACATGCATTTTCCTTCAAAGCTGTTTATTAGGATAGTGATGAAATATGATTACAGATTAGTAATAATGTATCAAGTACTGCTCAGATGCCTAAAATGAGGAAAACAACTGTCAATCAAGCCAGCAGCTCCCATCAATAAGACTTTGGGTGTTGGGAACTGTTTACTCAGGAAGAATACATTTTTCCTTTTACATTATATATCAAATTGGTTCTTAAATACAGGAGGAGTTCTTTTGAACAAAATAAAGATATAGTTCTCTTTTATCAATTTATTTTTTTAAATATCTCATTTTCTCCTTTAATGCTATGTAAAATGTATAAAAAGAACAAATTTTATTCTTTCATATCTTTGGAGACTCACATACCATAGGAGTCATAGGGGTCGATGTTGGGGTTGGTCGTGTTCCAGCCCTGGATCAGTCCATCGGTACCACCACTGAAACACTGCTCACCGTTGCTGCTCATCACCACACAGAGCACTGGACCTCTGGGAGATAACAATCAATTTCTAGTCTCAAAAAGAATCTGATAATAAGACTTACTAAAATTAAGAATACTTCATTATTCAAATGGCTTTCTATTTTTTAGCTTTGTACAATGAATGATACTATCAAAGCATTGTTCGTTTTTCTTCCTCTACTAAACCAAAAGTTGGTAGACGATGGCCTATGGGCCCAAACCAGCCAAGGTCTGCTTTTGAACAATCAATCCTCAAACTAAGAATGCAGCTTACATTTTTAAAAGGGTTATACGTCCAAACTAAACTAAAATGTGTGTATGTGTGTGTGGGGTGTGTGTGTGTGTGTGTGTGTCTTGCAAAGCCTACAAATATTTACTATCTAAACCTTTATATAAAAAATATTGTGGCCCTAGCCAGTTTGGCTCAGTGGATAGAGTGTCTGCCTGCAGACTGAAGGGTCCTGGGTTTGATTCCAGTTAAGAGCACATGCCCAAGTTGCAGGCACGATCCCAGTGGAGGAATGTTCAGGAGGCAACTGATCAATGATTCTCTGATTATTGATGTTTCTATCTGTCTTTCCCTCCCCCTTCCTCTCTGAAATCAATAAAAATATATATATTTTTTAAAAAGTATTGTGATCTCTGTGTTACAAAGCAAGTGACCATGGATATTCCTTAAGCTTAACAGGAAAAGCAATATGTGATCGCAATAACAAATTCTTGAATATTTTTATGTAGGTTATCTTTAAGGCGAAAAAAGTCAGGATTTCTAATATTTCAACCTAATTGCCTCAACTTTCTTTTAAGAAAGATATAAACATTATTTAAACATCATGCAAATAAAATATAATTTCAGCAAGGATCCCTATTTGGTAGTGATAAACTTATTTTTAACATTATCTGCCCGTTTCTTTTACAATTACAAAAAAAGTTACTAAATACAAAAATACATAACACAAATACATAAGTGAAAGAAATGAAAATATTCTAATCTGGCTGATTTATAGTGATGTTGATTTTTTAAAAAGCACATACTTACTTATGAGCCCTGAATGTATAGATAGGCTCCACATCAAGAGATGTACTCCTAAATCAGAGAGAAAAGACAGCTTTTACCTCTCTAAGTTTCAGCAGTAAACAATATTACTGAATTACATCATAAATTCTGGATTCAATTTCCAGTGCTGTTAAGCAAATTATTTAATCTTCTGGAATTTCAGATTCCTTTATGTTTAAAATAAAACAAACAAAAAATAGGATGATACCAAATACAAGATTAAATGAGCTTCTACAAGAAAAACAGTTTAGGACAGGACCATGAACTTTCTGTAATTTCCTAGTATTTCCATGCGGGTTAATATGTCTGTCCTTAACACTTACAGAAACTGTCCAAGTCATCAGTTCATTCATTATTCAGAATACAAGTGTATGAGTACTCTACAGTGCCTAAATTGGCCATGACTGTTAATGGAAACTGGATTTAAAGTCCAATACTGACCATATCCTACATTGAATGCACATTTTATAGGCATATGGTCTCTCTCCTCAAGTCATTTCCAAAGTTTCAAGTTCAAAGATGAACAGGGCACTGTTATTTACAAGTGGAGGTATTATTACTAAGCTATCACCAACAAGAAACGTGTTTCAATATTTTTCTTAAAATTTAGTCAAGAATATATGCTGACACATTCACATTCTCTAGTCTAATGTGATGCCCACTGTGACCAAAGAATCAGAAAGACAAAGAGCACAATTTATAACAGAAGTAATTTTTTTATCTGATCCAAGTGAGGATTCACTTGGTTTTAGCAAGATCTGGTGCAGCTGACAAATACTGATAAATCAAGTATTTATCTAGTCTACATATGACTCACAGCAGGACTGTCACTGATCTCTTTTAAATGGGCAACAGATATCCTCTACCAATAATAAAAATTCTGTAATCTCCTCCATTTGAAATTCATTTCTACTCTTCTAATAACAGAAATGCCTGACACTATAGAAGGGTCTTTGCTGGCAGATGCTGGGTTCTGGACCATGTGACCCAAGGAAGAAAGGAGCTCCAATAAGGCCCCCAACAAGTGAGATTAGGGCTAGCTTGGTGACTGATAAAAGGGTTTGCACCAACTCATGTCTGTCCATGTCTACAGAAAAACCAAGGGGGCCAAGACTAGCAGTTATACGATGGCAACAACACTGCCTTCCAGTCTAGACATCTTGGTACATATAGAAAGTGTGGAAAGTACCTAAAGGGTCAAGGCAAAAAGACAAGGCCAAAGAGGGTCCCCCCTTCCCTCCCAATTAACCGTCCCTCCCTTCCACTCCAAAAGTCCAAAGCTTGGAAACAATGGAACAGATTGGGGTGGAGTGTGATAATTATACATGCCTATACCTATTTACAGCAATAGGAGAACTTTCAGTACATTTAAAGGGCTCCCCAAATGTTTAAAATACTGTATAAGGATTGTTATCAGGATTCCTGCGGAACCAGATCACACCATTCCTCCCTAAGTGTCAGTTTTCTAACCTAGTATTAGACTTTGGGTATAAAGGGGAAACCACTCTAAATTATATGACATGGTGAAGAAAGAACAGAAGAGATATATGGGAATTCAATAGTAAATAATAAAGTCAGTATTTTTCTGCTGAAAATCTGTTAATTAAAATATTCAAATAAAGTTAAAGTAGAATATTCTCACTTTTTGGCTGGGGCTGTTTTCTGTAAATTCCACATTTTTAATGTGTGATCTTCTGATGCTGTTATCAAAACAGGCTCAATGGGGTGGAAAGCAAGGGCTCGAATGCCATCAAAGTGACTTCTTAACGTAAATTTAGGGTTCCATGTCTTCCTCAGTGCATCTTTATTATTTGCTATCTATTAAAGAAACAAAAGAAAAATACCTATACATTTAGATCAGGATAGAGAAAAAAACTATATTTCAACATTAATTCTTGCTGATTTATCATTAAACCATCCCATTTTGCAACTTTCAAAACAATATAATTTTTACATGTAAATAACCAAATCAATAAGCAAAATTAGTAATAGGTCAACAGTGGTTTTCTTTGAAGAAATATAAGCACTATAATAAGAAAACAGGCTACAATCCAATACAGAAAGAGGATGAAATAATTTAATAAGGTAAAATAAATCTTCAGTAGGATGATTAAAAACAACAAGTAATTTCAACCTAAATTACTCATCCTAATACAGAAACTAATTTTGGGTAAAAGTTGAAAAACCAAGTTATCTTTAAACATGTTAACATTATAGAATATTATCATACTTTTGAGATTTTCAATACTCTCTAATAACTAAATTTTTTCATCAAATTGGTAACAAAGTTTATAAACTGGAAACATAAAATGTTAAAATTAGAAGAGATAATCAAATGTTACAAAAATAGATTTCATTGATAAAACACACACATCATTGTGTTGTTTTTCTCCACATAAACTCCATCTCAACACTGAAAAAAAAAGCACAATGTTTTCATTTCAAGTAACAGGGAAGCTAACGACGTTGGTCTATGACAGTGATGGCGAACCTTTTGAGCTCGGCGTGTCAGCATTTTGAAAAACCTTAACTTAACTCTGGTGCCGTGTCACATATAGAAATTTTTTGATATTTGCAACCATAGTAAAACAAAGGTTTATATTTTAATATTTATTTTATATATTTAAATGCCATTTAACAAAGAAAAATCAACCAAAAAAATGAGTTCGCGTGTTACCTCTGACACGCGTGTCATAGGTTCGCCATCACTGGTCTACGACTTTACACTCACACCATGTATGAACTCTCACACTCCAGGCGCAGATCCAGGGGAAGACAGAGTTTAAGAAGGAGAGTCTGATACTTGGAGTTTTTCCCCAGACAGTGTGTACTGATACCAGAGTGGAAGGCTGAGAGGTGGAGCTGTGCTTCTGACTCCTCTGCAGTACAGGGGGATGCAAACTGGTATCCAAAAACTGGGGCTCAGTGAACTACCTTGCTTTGGGTTTTGATTTCAAAGGGCTGCATCCTAGACATAAGAGTAAACTGGAAGAACACAAGCCTTTGCAGGGACTGCAGATGAGCTATATATAGATCATGTCCAAACCTGAAAATGGAGTGAGGTGATACAGATTTCTAGTGGCTGTAGGCAGTTGATAGAAGCAAATTAAAATATACTCTCTGGGGGAAGATACCATCCTAGGCTCAAAGTTATTCTACAGACAATTTTTCAAATATAGTTGTTTGGACATAATAAAAGATAACTGTGCCCATATGAGATAATCCTATCTAATAAAGAGGGAATATGCTAATTGACTGCCCCACCCTCAAAGATGGCAGCACCCACAGCCAATAAGAAGGGAATATGCTAACTGACTGCCCCACCCTCAAAGATGGCGGCACCCACAGCCACAAGATGGTGGCACCCAGTCCGCTCAGCCCCACTGGGGCGGCAGGCTCGAGCAGCCACTCTGCATGCCTGCCTCCAGAGACCCCCAGCCCCTTAACCTCAGATGGCGGCTGCCCAGCTGCCCAGGGCCGCCCGAGCCTCAGGTAACCAGGGCTGGCCGAGGCTTGCGCTGCCGGCAGTGGCAGCAGCAGAGGTGTGATGAGGCATCGCCTTCCCCTGATCACTGGGTCGCCTCCCACCCCTGAGGGCTCCCAGACTGTGAGAGGGGGCAGGACGGGCTGAGGGACCCCCTCTAGTGCCTGAATTTTTATGCACCAGGCCTCTAGTAAAACATAAATGAAAACAAGCAGAAACAGCACATAATAGTAACAGAACTAGATTTTCTGATTCAAATTTTAAAATAATCATGCTTACTATGTTCAAGAAGATAAAAAGGCAAAAGTTACAATTTTGGAAGAAATCTGTAAACAATGAGGACTTCTAGAAGCAAAAATATAAGACCTCAATCAATTAGTTTAATTACAAATTTCACATAACTGAAGAGAAAAGCAGTGAACTGGAAGATGGGGCCATAAAATAATCTAGATTAAAGTATGAAAAATACAGACAAAGGAAATAGGAGACAGAGGCTATAGAAAGAAGATCTAACAATATAACTAGAGTTATATTATGGGGGGGACAGAGATAAATAGAGTAGTGCAACAGCAGTATTTGAAGATAAATGGCTGAGAACTTTATAAAGCTGATGATCTAAGAAGTTTAATAAAAGGAAAACTAAACCTTGGTTGACAATCAGGACATAGGGAAATATCAGTCAGAGGAAAAAAATAATCAGACTACCATTGTATGGCCAATAGAAATGACAGTTGATTTTAGCAGAACACAACAAAAAAGGACAATGAAATAATATATCTAGAGTGCTTAAAAAAAACAAACCCTTGGTAATTGGAATTCAATACTAGAGATGTTAACCCATGTAGGTGAAATAAAGAAAATTTAAGAAAACCAGAAACAGATTACTGGCCACCAGTAGATAGATCTTCACTAGAGAGAGAAATATGAAGTGTTCTTAGAATAAAGGGAAAGTGATCCCAGATGGACAGTCAGACACATAGGGAAAATGGAAAAAAGTAAAATGAATAGTGTAAATGGATAATCCTAATTTAATATCGAGTGTACAAAGCAGTACCTTGTTGGAGATAAATGTATAGAGAAATAAAATATATAACAAGAATGACATTATAAACAGGGTGTGTGTTTTGTTGTTTTTGTTAATCTTCACCTGAGAATATTTTTTCCATTGATTTTTTTGGAGAGAGTGGAAGGGAGGGGAAAAGGGGGAGAGAGAAAGAAATATCAATGTCAGAGATATTTACCTCCTGCATGCACCCTGACCAGAGCTGGTGATCGAACCTGCAACCATGTGCCCCCTTGACCAGAAATTGAATCCTCGACTGGAATTTGCAACCCTTCGGTGTGCAGGTCAATGCAGTCTAACCACTGAAAACACTGGTCAGGGACAGGGTAGGAGTTCTAAAAATAGAGTTAAAAATGTTCAAAAGGGGATAGAGAAACTAAGATGGCGGCATAGAGGAACACCGAGATTGCTGCCTCCTACAACAACTTCAGAAACGCAATAAAAGGACAGGACGGTCAACATCCAGAACTACAGGAGGGCTGGCAGAGTGGAAATTCTACAACTAGAAGAAAAGAGAAAAGCACATTGAGGGTCAGGAGCTGTGGAAGTAAAGTGCAGAGGTACAGAGGTTCATGTGGGCTAAAGGGGGCTGGTACCTGAGGACGCGGCTGGGGAAGGAGTCACAAGCTCCCGACTGCTCTGAACTCCGGTTCCAGGAAGTCTCTGGAGACCCAGGACTCATACGGGGAGAAACTGGACTGTCTGACAGCAGGCAGAACTCGGAACTCGAGGGCAGCTTTCCCTCAGAGGTGCTTGCAGCAATTAAATTACCGGGACACTGAGATGAGCGCGCGGCCCCTTAGGGCAGGGCTGAAAATCCGCCATAGCTCCTTTGAGTCCCTGAGACCCCGCCCCACCCAGGCTGCAGCAGAGGCTTTTGCATATGAATGCCCTGGCCCTCTGCAACCTGAAAATTACCTAACAAACTGCAGCTGGGCCACAGACCCAGAACTTACAAGAGAAGGCCCAAGGCCTCACAGCAGCTTGTATTGCTTCACAGCTGGGCCTCATCTGGGCACCTCCAAACCCCAAACAAAGAAGAGGAATATGCAGATCTCTCCATAGCTCCTGCTGGGTAGCCTCAGGAAGAGGCTAAATTAGCACCTTCTTAGAGATCCAAGAGCCAGTGTACCCAGTGGCAGATT